ACTTTTTTGCCGTATGAATAAACGTTGCCCAGGGTGCACCACGTGGAGGTAAGTCCATCGCTTATCCCGTGTCAGACAGACTTGAAATACGTTAATGTCAATCGTATGCCCAGTTCGTCGACACTGAGATCCAGGGTCCTACTGGACTTGATTCATTTGTTGTTGTTAGGTTAAAATCTTCTGAGTGAAAGATTGTTCAAGTTTCCGTTTTTTCCCATGAACACAGTTTTTCATTCTTGGGTACTTTTCAGTTTAAATATGAAGAGGGTTAGCTTCCTGAAGTACCACTAGCCCCCACTTAAGCATTATGATCGGGTTGGTCGAAGAGCTTGCAGAACTATTGATTTTCAAGGTCGGCGGACTGCCAAGGACCTTTTCCAAAGTTTGAAAACCAAGAGAGGTTTGTATTGGGTGTAATCGAATAAAAATGAAAGAGACGGAGACGGAGATGCTAGATATTGATGTAAGTTCTTAAACATCGTTGTTAGATTGGAGGTTGTGGAAATATGGAGGATTAAGGTACACTGAAAGACGCTGTCGGTTTTGTGCCTTTGTGGGAGTTACTGGCCGACAACTCGGATAACCGCCAGACCTATAAAAGTCATTGTGTACTTACTATTTAGGTTACTGGTCGGTAGTGTGTTTGCGAATGGATATTAAGGGTTAATAAAGAATGAAAACTAGGATATTGAGGTTTTCCTACTGAAGAGCATTAGCAAACAACCCTTTCCAGTTTGAGGGGTTAAACATTTAGTCAACTGTAATGGGCGGATTGGAACGCCGTCAGCTGATCACAGTTATAACTACTTCATAACTAAAGAGCATAGCAAGTGGTATATTTCATATCGCCTTCACATCACTTTGCTTCTTCACTTTAGTCGAAGGAAGATAGCAAATCCAACCTGATTATGGTAAATGGTGTTCCATTGACCTCACTCTTGGCAGTCACTGACAGAATTGTACCAGGAGCCAGAGAAGATAAGGGCTTTCCCAATTCCATCCACATTAATCTCGCTCAATTTCGTCAGCAGCAAAAGGCTTCGACACATGGTTTCGAAGTACTGGTTTCTAAGAAACGCAAAGATGAAAAAGACCCTCGAGGAAGCATCACAAAATCATATTTGGATGAGGTAAATGAAACCCTCTACGCGGCTGCCACCAATAAAAGCACAATTGAAACTATACCCTTTTGGATGCACATCGGTCTAGAGTGTCCGGAAGCAGAAAGATGGATGCAATTATCCCAAGCATTAAGGGTTTTGGAAGGCAATTACCAATTGCCGTTCAAGTATTCACCGTGCAATGTGGCGTTATGCTATAACTTGGTTGCACATTTGAACTTCGTCCATCTATGCTTCAGACGCATCCAGGCAGTTGCTCGTTTGGAAGCCAAGCTAAATAGCCATAAGGGATCTCTTTTACTCGACTATGAGGCAAGAGTTCGGGTCCTTGAAAACTTGGGTTTTCTTGAAAAAGATAGCCAATCCGGTTGCCTTACGCGCAAAGGTGAGTAGGTTTCATTATTCATTTCTACTGATTTGATTTAAGTAATTGATAATTTTGAATTTCATTTTATACCTTCAGGTAGGGCAGCATGTGAGTTCCAGCAAATGGAAGTTCTGCTAGCTGAGGTACTTTTTGATGGATCAATAATTCAAATGCCTCCTGAAGATATTGCAGCATTGCTCTCATGTTTTGTCTGTGAGTCTGGAATGGGTGGCTCGCAAAGCCAGCCCCCTCCCCCACCACAACAAGATATGGCAGCTAATAAGCCATTTAATTCTCGTCTCGCTCTTGTTACGCAAAAAGAGCGAGATTCTTACGAGAATCCTGCTGAGCCTGAAGAATGTATCCAGCTTCCAATAACAGTTCCGGAACACTTACAGGACACTGTTCGGTCAATGTTTGTAAAAGCTCAACAATTGGAAAAACTTCAGATGAAGTTTGGTGTTTTGGAGGGAGAGTCGGATACGCAGTTGAATGCAATTTTAGTTGGTGCGACCTACGCTTGGGCTTGTAATCAGCCCTTCTCGGCTATTATGGGCCTCGTAGCGGGCGAAGTTGCTGAAGGTCATGTCCTTCGAGCTCTTCAACGATTGGATGAGTTGTTGCGTCATGTTTGTTCGGCTTGTAAGGGATTGGGTGATCATGCACTGGCCTCTAGAATGGACGCTGCCCGAGTGGCCATACATCGAGATATGGTATGTGCACCGTCGCTCTACGTTGCGGACGAAATCGCTGCGGAGGCTTCGAGTGACTCTAAACCTGAAGAGGAGGAAAACGAAGATTTAACTTGAAGTGGGTCAGCTTATTCTATTTTGGCGCGCTTCCATTTTTCATCACTTTTGTACATGTAATAAATTTTTTTCTATTTCACTCGAGTTTTTTTAAAAAAACTTGGATGTGAGTAGTGATTGCAAGCGGGAAGAGGTCGAAGTGAGAACACAACTGGTGCAAATATATTTATACCAAATGGCAGGCGTTTTGATAGTTATCATTAGCCCTTTAGTTGACTTCAGGCTTCATAGAGGCGAAGGAATATCAAAGAGAAAAAAGTCGAGATGGGGGGGGGGGAGACAGAAGAGTGTTTAAAAGATGTAAAGGAGACAGATACAAAGGTCGAGAGTAGGGTAAGGTGAGTACTGTAGAAGTAGTCGAATATGACATACAATGGGGTGATGGTAGTTTGAAGTGAGAAGTCAACTGCCGGTTAATAGACTCTATTGCAGTATGAGTATATGCTGTCCAGGGTGCACCACGTGGAGGTAGGTCTATCGCACACCCCGCTGGTGCAAATATAAACCGGTGAAGCATTGCTTCAAAACAGTAGGTGGAAGTAGATTCAAACCAAGCACACCTATTGGCGCTTCTGCAATAAAACACAGTCACCAACAAAGTCTAGGTTACTCACTGAATCTACCTGTTGCTAAGGTATTGTCTGATCCAAGGGAGTATTACGAATGATCGTTTTCCTCTAGAGCGGTACAAAGTTGGCTACGAAGGAGCGATTAGGTACTTGAATAATCAGTGATATTAGACTGATGGAACCTCATTCGTGTATATAGGACTAGCAATTAGATAACTTGTAGGATTACACGAATCCAGAGGAAAACAGTTGACTCAAGTGAATTCTTCTCTTCCTCACCTAGTAAGAAATTGCCATTTTCAGGTATGAAAATATAAGACCAAGAGCCAAAACCCCTTGTGTCCGAGGGACGAGTTCCGCTAAATGAATCTTAAAAGTTCTATTAAGGCATCGAGACAATACCATTCCCCCCCCCCACCCCCCTAGTAGAAAGCCTACAGGCACTGGTGCGTAAAGTCGGGTTGTGATTTAAATTACACAGATCAGCGAAAACTTTGTATATGAGAAGCGGGATGGCGTAACAACTAACTTCCGAGGGTTCTCGCGAAAGAGTGGGGTGGAGGGGGGGGGGGTTCGAAGACTCCAATAGAAACCTTTATTCGTCGGTTTGTAAAAATATTTATTTCAAATGGAGGGCTTTATGACACTTATCATTAGCCCCTTAGCTGACTTCGGGCTTCACAGAGGGGAGGAGGAACATCAAAGTGACAAAAAGTCGAGAGGGGGGGGGAACAGAAGAGTGATTCAAAGATGTTAATGAGACAGACAAACAGACACAAAGGCAGAGAAAAGGTAAGATTAGTACAGTGAAAGTGGTCGAAATGGCATACAGTGGGGTCATGGCAATTTGAAGTCAGAAGTCAACAGTTGCCGTATGGGTATACATTGCCCAGGGCGCACCACGTGGAGGTAAGTCTATCGCGATAGACTATAAACCGGCAGTTGACTTCTCACTTCAAACTACCATCACTCCACTGTTTGTAAAAATATCATGTTAAGCACAGATATCAACTACCTATTGATTAAGTTAAGGGTGGTCTCATGGGAATAGAGAAAGTTAAATTGATATCATGCCTTTTATCAAAACCAGAATATCACGAATAGCAGCATATTGCGCGCTTAATAGTTCACAGCAAGTGTTCACTACGAACTTCTATTCCCAACTCAGCATGTCCCAGCGTGACTCTTCTATCTTGGTTAAACTGTGGAATGTCCCATATAATTTGGGGCAATAATTTAATAAATTTACTATTGTTTTAAACATGTAGTGGCCACTTTCGAGGTTGAATTTAGCTGCCTAGGTCATTCCGCAATTGTCAAACCTATCGAAGTTATAGAATCTTCCAGCATTCTCAATTAGAAACGTTAACAACAACGTAGGGAAATCATATGCTCTCGATCGGCTCATATAAGTAGTTCTCTTCCAACTGCTCATCTTCTCCAACAGCTAACCATCTACACCATTAGAAATTCACTGGTGGACTACGATTTCTCAACCCTCGACATAAAACTGGCCTATCTTGATCATGTTCCTTGAATAATTCAAATTCACCCACCTTCAAATAAAAGCCCATTTAACCCAGAAATGCATTTTTTCTATAGTATTTGTGAAGTTGACCCCCCTCCTCCCCCCCTCCCCCCCCT